TATATCTATATCTATATATACTGTATATCTATGTATATATAAATATATATTTGTGGTCGGGTATATAAATACCGTATAATGGATAATCTAATATGGGCTGAGTTGTGCCGATAATCTTATGTGGCCTAAGGTGTGCCCGTGACTCCGTTGTTTAGGTACGCCTAAAAGGGGGCATACCTAATGAAAAGGTGATGGAATTTGAAATGATAAATAAAGGGGATGGGTGGGTGGGGACAAACGCTTTCCACACAACATCAGGCAGGTAAGGGAAGAGGAGGGGTTTATATAGCCATAGACCCCTCCCAATAAATTAGCATATATATTTATCTTCTATTTACAAAGTGTATCATGGTTTTGTATATATTTTCTTTATATATTACCAGCGAAAAGTATGCCTGCCTCTAAATGAAATTAAATCATACATTTCTAAAAAAGAAACCTAGTGCTATGAATGTGTATTGTACAGAAGTAATCAGTCACATAACACGGTGTTCACGAAGTTCACAGTTCAGCAGTTTGAGTATGTATTATAAGGAACAGCATACAAACCGTAGTGGTCCAGAGCATGTAATGTATATCGTAATATAAATGCTTCTTTCCAATGCTCCTCAGCTCCATTTAGTAGCCAGACTGTGGCATTTTCCTGATATAATGCTCAACCTGAGAAGAAAATATACCAAAAACATAGCTTTTTGCCTCTGTTCGCACAGAGCAAATGTAAGTGCAGTTTTGCAGGATGAATGGCTCTGCACATTTTTTTTTTAATACACTCCTATATGTTTACTAGATTAACACTTTAACATAACCCATACTGACCTTATTCCAGGTCTGAAACCTGCACTTCTAAGAATACAAATTACATGTACCATTTCTCCTGCCTTCAATAGTTTTGTTTCAGCAATCTTTTCACCTATACTGATTCAAATCACGGACAGGCCACTGTCTGCAAGGCGTTTGTATGTCCTCCTTTTGCTTGCGTGTATTTCCTCTGGACAGTGGCAGAACTATCACCATAGCAGGTCGCTATGGGGTCCGGGGCACAGGGGGGCCTGGCCAGGACAAGCAACAAAGGGATCCCCCCTGATGCCAGGCGGGCCATCTGGGTTGCTATGGCATCAAAGACTGCTGGCTGTCACTGGCGGCTGTGAGAAGGAACGTGCCGCTGTCCAGATCACTGTCAACCTGTCAGTGATCTCTGCAATGGCGTGTTCCTCCTCACAGCCGCTGCTGAGTCAATGACAGCCAGTAGCTTGCAGTGGAGGAGGCTTAGGGCCTGGCGACGGCAGAGTAGGAGGAGGCTGGGCCGGACAACAGTGGAGAAGGCGGGGCCCGCTGGCGACCGGAGGGGTGGCGGGGCCAGGCGGTAGAGAAGGCTGACAGCGGATGGGAGCTGACAGGTAAGAGGTGTGCAGGGATGTGACCAGCCCACCTCAGACCCTGCAGAGCCCACCATACAGAGTATATGGTGGGCTCTGCAGGGTCACTCTTAGATGGGCTGTGTGGGATCTCAGGTGGGCTCTGCAAGGGGTGTAACTAGAAATCGCAGGGCCCCATACTAAATTTTGCTATGGGGCCCCGTGATTTCTAGTTATGCCCCTGCCTCTGGGTACTTTAATTTTCCTCCCACACTCCAAACACATGCTGGAAGATTTAATGGCTTCTGTCTAAACTGGCCCTGCATGCATGTATGTGAGATAGGGACCTTAGATTGTTGGTGCTATAACAATACAGGAAGTTTTATTGTACTTTCTTTGATAATGGAGGCACAGCGTTATCTTTTGTGACTTTATTTTAGTCATTTAAGCGGTTGTTTATTCATTTACATTTTAAATGTATTTTATTTTTATACAGGTTTTCAATCAAACCAGCATGGAGGCCTTAAGAAAGAAGTCTGTTTTACTGACCGGCTATTTGGAGTATTTAATTAAGCATTATTACAGTGAAAACATTGCTGAACCCAAGAAACCTTATGCAAAAATAATCACGCCTTCTGGCATTGAAGAGCGGGGCTGTCAGCTCTCCCTGACTTTCACGTTGCCCATAAAAGCTGTTTATGAGGAGCTGGAAAAAAAAGGAGTCGCGGTACGTCATATTGTCCAATGTCAACGATGTGTTTGACAATTAACAATGTCAATAGTTTTTGTTTTGTTTTAAAGAAAGGCATTTAGACATATTTATTTCAAACTTTACAAAAGTAAACTTACTGATTAAATGGCTTAAATGGGGCTGAATAGGCAATGCTTTAAAAGCTTTTACGGGTCATCAGCACCCAACATGTGTTTCCGTTCGTATGTGTATGTAAGTGACGGTGGTGGGGTTTTAATATATACAGTATATATATATATTATTTTACACTTAAAGAAGAACTCTGGGCAAGACTTGTTTTAAGCCTTAGCCCTCATTGTAACATCCGGCCTGTACAGATTGGCCATATCGGGCCGCTCCTGGGAAGGACAGGTGCTGTTCTTCTCTATGGAAGTATGCGGCCGTACATCGCCCTACACTCACCCGAACTGAACGTCAATGCACGTCCAACGGCACGTGGGACACAGTGCTTTCCCTGGGACGACCCTGGAAAAGTACACACCCAGGCCTATGCCTATGCAGGGTAGTACCCGGACCCCCATACACCTTTTATGGCCAATAACTTGCATATAAGACTTCAAAATGGGGACATTTGATTTTCAATGTTCTACCGCCATAGACTTGCATGGAGTTCGAGTTCGAATTCAAACTTTTCCCATGTTCGAAAGTATGAATTTGAACCGAACCGGGGGGTGTTCCGCTCATCACTGATCAACAGGCATTCACTACAAACTTTTTTCTATCTGGGTTTTGCTTGTTATGAAATATACTGATGGCAACCTTCTGAATTTGGCATGCAATTTGCTATAATGTATTATTTAGATATAATCTAAGACAATGGCATTTCTGTATACAGTAAGTCATGAGAGATGATCACCAGACCTTTTTTCTGCTGATCTGGGACTATTAAGAATTCACAATGTCACATTTCTATTCCCATGTTGAATATTGTATGTACAATAATATGTTTTATTTAATTTCTCTTCGTTGTTTTACAGTGTGATATGCGGGAGCCCGATGGTTTAAGGGTAGCACCAGTACCGCTCTACAACTCTTTCCATGATGTCTTCAAATTTGTTCAAATTCTTGGAGAATCTTTGGATGCTGTTTGGAAATCAGCATAGCCGAATGAAACAAAAAATGAGAATTAAAGTAGGACTGAACTTAAAACTTTTTTGTTTCTTTTTGGATAGAAAAATTGAGAGTTATAACCCCAACAGCTTTTTATCTGCCTTTGTGTCCCATTGGGGAGATTTCCCTTTCTTTCCTGTCTGATAGCCACAGCAGGAAGTCAGTGGAAATCCCTCCAAAGTGAGGGAAATCCTTGGTAGTTAGCAGGGTCACCAGAACTAGTGTCTCCCACTGACATTAATTTCCCATCAATTCCTGTCCTGATGACAGAAAGAACATTTGGGATTTTCTTTCACTTTCAGTGATAACACTCACCAGGACAAACGGAGAGGGTGAATCTCCTTAACAGGGACACAGACAGCAATAAAAACCTGAAAGGTGTTCTAATCCCTCTCCACTCTATCCAAAACGAAAAAAAAAAATATTGGCTTCAGTTGCACGTTAACATCTTGTGCAGTCCTTTCATATGCCCAGGTTATATTTGTACTTGTTAAAGTGTATCCAAAGCCAAAACCTTTGTTCTCTATTGTATATAATGGGGAATGGGTGAATCTCCCAATTGGAGGCACAGATAGCAGTTTTATTTTTATCATATGGTGTAACCGCTTGTATTGTATATTTTACATTGGTCTACTCTGATGATTCCTTCCTTTTGTGGTTAAAGACGATAAATATAAACATAATATCTAAACTTTGAACAGAAAGGAGAAATAAATTGTTTCACTGTACAGCTTCTTATTTTTCTTATTTACATTGTGTGTTATTTTTGGGGATACATGTACTGTGATATCTACTTGACATATTTAATAAGTCACAAAGAAATCTGTAAAGTGCAGTAAACTCAATGTATATCAACCAATTAATTTAATATCCACTGATCTGATCTTGGTATATGGAATGTGATTAGTGGCTGCATTTTACCACCCATTACATCCCACCTTTGTTCTTTTATCACATTTGCAGTACCCTATGGAAAAAAGTCATGTTTTATGTTGGGTACAAACCTTTTCATGAATCTCAAACATTGTAATAGAAGACACAGTCAATAGAGAGAAGTATGGTGACTTGGAAGATATATTTAAATCAAGCACAAATACAGTAATTCATTTTGTACCACAGTGCTTAATATTAAACTGTACAGAGGAATTTTACCCTTATCTTAACAATGGCAACAAAGGCTCCTTTAGAGATGTTTAGTAATGGCAATCTACAGACAGATACTTATAGATAATTACAGTTTTTTTATTCTTTGTATACCTTAGTTTTCTTTTCCTCTCCATTCTTTTCACAGTGGCCATTAGACATCAGTGGCCACAGTGCAGATCAATCCATTTCCCTTTACTGAGTCTGCCGCTTGGAACATGTGACAGTGCACATGAAGATCTCACAAGATCCTATAGTTTACAGATGCAATTTCCCAGATAGAAACTGGTGATGTAACCTTCCCAGGATGCATCTGTGATGCCAGGGCTACATCACAGTGCCTCACTCCAACAGGAAGTAGAAAAACAGTATGTGTAAGTAAAAGCAAAATATGTTTGTTTAACTAATGAATGTAAGATGATTGCATACCAGTATGCAGACTGATGTGATTTCAGTGAATGGAGGTAACGTTTTTCTTTAATGGTGCTTAGTAATGAGAGTACTTTGGAGCAAGACAAAGGATGTGATCTATTGTCACTAGCCACAGCAGCAGCAGCTCTCTATTTTTGGATGAGTCTTAGACAACCAAACACAAATCCACTAAATTGAGATACACACATTTGGGGCAAGATTTATACCACATAGTCTAAGTAGTTGGTTCCCTTCCAGAATTACTAGAGCTCTCATAGAAATGACAATATTCTTATCTCACAGTATGGAATGAAGCTTCGGTTTCATGGAGCATTGAAGGTTTGTAGCCCTAGAAGAATGGTGGATAACTGACATGATAGCTGGAAGACCCAAGATTAGTCCCCAAGCACCTTACTCTCATGATAAAAAGTGTCAATAACACGCTGGACTTTAGCCACACACATATAAATGTCTGTCAGGGAACCAGGGTTGCTGCTCCTTACCAGGGTCGCCAGTAGACATGTGCGATTCGTTTCGTTACGAATCGAAATTCGTACAAATTTTCCTGAAATTCGTAAAATTCTGAAGCATCCGAAATCCGAATTGCAGTTTCCGAATTATATCTGAAATACGAAATTCCGTTAACGAATTTCGGATCTATATTTCTTTGAAACAGGAACTAATATTACCCCTGTAAATGAGGTTGAACAACATGACAAGATTTTTTTTTAATCCGAAATACGGATCCGCTGCTGCTGAGGGATGCATTACAATACACAGGCAGGAAATACGAAATTCCGTTGACGGAATTTCGTTCCGTTACGAACATTCGTTATATTGAAGTTAAAAAGCAAAGTACATTTATATTGGAGTTGATGGTAGTTTTTTTTTTAAAGTCCGAAATACGAAATTCTGATACGGAATCCGTTAACGGAATTCGTATTTCGTTTTGGTTGACCAATCAGAGGTTTTCTCTTCTGCTGCTGAGAGTTGCATTACAATACAGGCAGGAAATACGAAATTCCGTTGACGTATTTTCGTTCCGTTATGAACATTCGTTATATTGAAGTTAAAAAGCAAAGTACATTTATATTGGAGTTGACGGTAGTTTTTTTTAAAGTCCGAAATAGAAATTCGGATACGGAATCCGTTAACGGAATTCGTATTTTGGATAAAAAAACAACTACCACATCGACTCCAATATTAACAAAGGTATTTTTGCTTTTTAACTTCATCATAACGAATGTTCGTAAAGGTACGAAAATGTGCCGCAACTAACGAAAATTCGTATTTTGTACGAATCCGAATTGAGTTTCGGATACGAATTACGAAATAACGGAAATACCGAAACGGAACAAATTTTTTGACGGCGCACAAGTCTAGTCGCCAGCTGCGCCGCAGGGCACGGGTTCTCTTCCCTCCTGGCAGGACTACTGGCGCTGGGGTCGCAGGTGCGCATGCGTGGCGTGCACACTTGCGTAGTACCAAGGCTATGTGTACATGTGCGGGGGCGCGCCCACTTAGCATCTTTAGGTGTTAGCCAGGCTGGGGGAAGTTCACAGCACACACCATCCGCCCCTTCGGCCCTGCTATTGGCTCCTGGATGAGGAAGCTTCCAGGTCGCCTCGGCAACCAGGGGGTCGTCCTAGGTTTCCCTGGGTATTTATTTCAGTCAGAGCCCCGGCTTGTTGCTGAGTTATTCTACCTCTATGGTGTGATCTCCCAGCCCCATGTCCCTTGTACCTGTCTCGCTTCCTGAACCTTTGCTTGAACTCCCGATTACCGACCCTTTTGCCTGCCCTTCCGTTTCTGAACCTAGCTGCCTGCCTCGACCCGGATTGGACCTGACTACTCTTCTCGGATTTTCCCCTTTGTACCTCAACCTCAGGCTTTGGTTTGTTTTTTGCCATTTTGTTTATTGTTATTTTCACTAAACTCTTTATTTTTAACCTGCACTTGAACTTTCTGTCCTTAGCACAAGGAGGGGGGAGCTAGGGAAGTTGAATTATAATTTATGTTTTCCTCTAAGAAATTGAAATAGTGTATTTTCACTCCTGAACTCCTCAACATTTCCAATTGCCTGATATGTTTAAATAAATAAGCTGTCTTGAGTCCATGCTTTTCTCATGGTACTACTAAGTACTCATGTGTAGACATGTGCTATTTGTTTCATTCTGAAACTAAATTCGGACGAATTTTAGGAAAATTGGGACTTCCGGATGTATTCGAATTCCAAATTACAGATATAACGAATGCAAACGAATCCGTTTCCGAAATTCGTTAGCGGTAGTTTGTTCGAACATTCGTTTCGTTTTCGTTTTGTCCGTTCGTTGCAGCAAACAAACTAAACGAATAAGAAACGAAAACGAAACGAACGTTCAAACAAACTACTGCTAATGAATTTCGTCCGAATCCTTCATCCGAATTGACTTTCACACCCGAATCCCGAAAAACTAAATAACACAAAATATGAATCAAAACGAAACGAAACTAAACAAAGTTTTTGCCACTGCGCATGTCTACTCATGTATGTTGTTCTAGGTCCCACCTTGCCTACTGCAACACCCTCCTCTGCAATTTTCTAGACAGACTGGCCACATTCCAATGTCATATAAATGCTCAACTTCACTCATACTATTATTTAGCTCCAGAAATTCCACTCTTCTCTATCAGCTTTGCACTGGTCAACTCATTGTCCACATCATAGAATTCAAAATCCTTGACCCAACATATAAAGTCCTTAAAACATTGTCATCTGATCTCAAGCCTCCAAGTATACACCTCACAAAACACTAGCCATCTATCAACAGCAATTTAGCATCTTACAAGGTATTACTAAACAGTGCTGACGGTATTTTATCCTTTTCGAGAAATTTGTAATGTTTATACCAAATAGCAAATCGTATTGTACCATCTTACGCAGTACATAAACCATGCAGATAAGATCAAGAGATCTGGCTGTTGCTCAATTTAAGGGTGGGGGTCAATGTGTGTGTTTTACAAGCTTCTTTGAAAATAATTGAAAGTTTATTCCAGATGTGGTGGTTGCAGCATCTCAAAAACTTGCTGACCTCCTAGGGTTCTTCTGCATTTCATTTTCCAAAATAACAGAGGAGAAAAAGAAATACATCCAGTGAGAAGCAGTTCTATAGGGGAATGTGTATTTTTATTTTAAAAGATCAGAGGAGAATGGTCAGACATGTTGAAATTCAATCAATGACTAGCAGTTGTGTGCATAAGGCCATCTGTGAATCCATAACACATAGAACCTTGAAGAGGACAAGCTACAGCAGTAGAAGACCCTATACTGGTGTGTAAAACACTTCAATTAAGAACAGAAAAATGAGGCTATAGACAGGATTCTGTGGTGCTCAGCTCACCGGTTGCCAGTAGCTGAACAGGACACTATGGCTGGCGTCTTGCCAAACCCCTGCAACCAGTGATGTCAGTGAGCTGGGCAGGATGCTGAACAGAGGCGCTGACAGCACGGCCCGTCCTCCGCCTCAGAAACAGCCCTGCCTGCATGTTCTGAAAAATCACAATTTCTCCTGTGTCATATGAAGGGAGGGTCAGAATATGGCAATTCAAGATGAGGAGATTTGCAACATCAATATGTAGTCAGCAAATCTGAAGATTCTAGCTGGCTACCCAGCATGGACCAAAATTCCTAATGAGATTTTTGGAATCCACAGCCCAGACAACTCTGACTGTGATGAACACAAAAGGGTGTCCTACTTACTAATAGATACATGTGCTAAAGTGCTCAGTTTAGTAAGCACTAAACAGTTTATTAAACACTATATACACTA